CAGGCCGGGGAGGAGGAGAAGGGCGTCAGGCCGGGGAGGAGAGGTGTGGCCCCTCCTCTGAGTCATTCAGCAATCTGTGTAATCTGGAATTACATATTACAAGGACCCCCTCAGATCAGTGATTCAGTTTGTAGTGAAGTGAAGGACCAGGATGACAGCCCCGCTCCCCGCACTGCCAACTCTGACAGGTTCCCTTCACTGAGGCTGCTGTTGATAATTTCACCCTGAAAAGTGCCAGTTACCTGGCCACCTCTGGCGTCAGTATTTCAGGCCAGTGTCTCAAAGCTTTGAAGCCAGAGGATGACCACGACACCCACGGATTATCAGTTTGAGAGACCAGCAGTTGCAGCGAAGAGATACATAGGAGGAGCTGTTACATGCTGAACCTCTGGCTATTTGAGTCGCTGACCTGGAGAAAGCAAGTGGATTAGGAGTGTCTTGTGACTGAAAGCATTAAATCCAGAGGATCGATATGACTGCCAGGCAGTGGGCATTGTCTGTGCCCAGCTCATTGTAGACATCTCAGCTCCAATACACCCAATACAATGTGTAAGCTGAGAGGTTGGTGACACCTGCTGGACATATCTGGTATTGCAGTCAGGGCCATTTGTAGTTGGGGACATCTGCTGGACATGTCTGGTATTGCAGTCAGGGCCATTTGTAGGTGGTGACACCTGCTGGACATGTCTGGTATTGCAGTCAGGGCCATTTGTAGGTGGTGACACCTGCTGGACATGTCTGGTATTGCAGTCAGGGCCATTTGTAGGTGGTGACACCTGCTGGACATGTCTAGTATTGCAGTCAGGGCCATTTGTAGTTGGGGACACCTGCTGGACATGTCTAGTATTGCAGTCAGGGCCATTTGTAGGTGGTGACAACTGCTGGACATGTCTGGTATTGCAGTCAGGGCAATACCAGACCCCTTGCCTTCTATGGATGTGATTGGGCCGCACTGCACATCAAGTACATGGGCATTGACCTTCCCGGCAGAAGACGCCATTGGCCCCCGACCTGGCCCCTGCGCTGTCCACCTTGGCTCCATCAATGCACTTCCCCTCCCCCGCCAGCTCATTAAGGGCGGAGCTTCCCAGGTGATTGATGAGATTTAACCCCTCCCTGGCCCTCATTAGATCACATGGGGTGATCGTAGTATCTCCCCAATGAAGGGACGATCTGGGTTGGGGGGCCACTGCGCAATCGTGTCATATTAGGGGCCCATTTACACCTCTGCATTTGGCACCGTAACAAACATTACATGTTCCCTCTGAATGGCACCGTAGTGCGCCGCAGTGCACTGTGTGGGGGGTCACATAGGATTCTGACCACGTTGGCAGTCTCTTCATCTCCAATGCACGTGAATACTCATCACCGCACCGCCAGAGTGTGAACGCGGCTTTACCGGGGACAATAACAAAAATGAAAGATCATCGAGGGCCCATTTACCTTGTGGCAACATGTTAGCATGCGTCACGGCGCACATCAACATGCATCACGTGTAAAAAAACCGCATGGGCACACGTGACCATTCGATTGTATTGCACTGTGTGTGCTGCTATGCAGGTGGGTTGAGTTGCCTGGGTGATGTCACCGTTGCCTAGCAGAATTTATCATCCCCCCCCCCC